AAAAAAAAAAAAGAAGAAGACAACGACGACGACAACGATGAAGAAAAATAAGAAGGAGAAAAGGACCTAGATAGATAAGAAGATGCCTATCAAGTAAGAGGACTAAGTACCCTCAGGCCACGGTGAGTATTCAAAGATAATGTATTTATTTCAGGCTGGGTGTGGTGGCTCACGCCTGCAATCCCAGCACTTTGGGAGGCTGAGGCAGGCGGATCACTTGTGGCCAGGAGTTTGAGACCAGTCTGGCCAACATGGTGAAATTCCATCTCTACTAAAAAATTACAAAAATTAGCCGGGCATGGTGGTGTGCACCTGTAATCCCAGCTACTCAGGAGGTTGAGGCACAAGAATCACTTGCACCCCAGATGTGGAGGTTGCAGTGAGCCAAGACTGTGCCACTGCACTCCAGCCTGGATGACGAAGTGGGACTCTGTCTCAAAAAAAAAAAAAAAAAAAAAAAAAAAAAAGATAATGTATTTATTTAGTTTTAAAGGGACACAATTAAATACTCTGTATGAGTGCCCTAAGTCGCTTCTTCCAAAATCATCTTTTGTGTCCTACCTCCATGAATTTTGTCACATCCACATATCCCCTCCCCATTCATTTATCATTTCCTTAATTTTTAGCGTGGATTAAATCCCTTTTATATTTAATTCCACTTGAAAAGGAAATGTGACTGAAGCGTGAATTTGAAGAGCTATATTTTTTCTCAAATATGTTAAAATACGCTTCTGTTGAAATTTTTAAATGTCAGGTGAATATATTGCTGTTGAAATGTGAAGATTTGCGGTGGTTCATGCCTGCAATCCGAGCACTTTGGAAGGCAGCAGTGGGAAGATGGCTTGAGCATGGGTGTTTGAAAGCAGCCTGGACAACACACCAAGACCTCATCTCTACGAAAAACATTTTAAAACTTATCCGGGCATGGTGGCATGCAACTGTAGTTCCAGCTATTTGGGAGGCTGAGGCAGGAGGATTGCTTGAGCCCAGGAGCTGGAGGTTGCAATTGCACCACTGCACTCCAGCCTGAGTGACAGAGCAAGATCTTGTCTCTAAAAATACAAATAAAAAATAAAAACTTTCTGTGTACACGTGAAGCTATCTGGCATACCACAGGCGCTATGCATAGCACACTTTGGGACACACTGTGTAAGTCACTCGGCATGCATTCATACTGTATGCGAGACACTGGAAACGTGAATAGGGAAAGACACCAGCCCTGCCTATGAGGCGTCCACAGTTCATTCTCCCTCCCAAATTCTTTAAAGAAATGATGATGATTATAAAACATCACCATGTTAGCAAGAGCAAGGTACCCAAAATGCATTGACCAACCTTGTTAACTAAGGAGGAATTGATTTTGTTGACCAGCCAAGTAAACGTTCGTCCATAAACAGCTTTCGCCATTGCATCTCTAGCGTAGACAGAGAGTTCTAGTGTCAATGGGCAGATCACCTGAAAAGAATGACAAGGTGCATCATTATAGGTGGAATAAAGAAGCCCCCAGAGTGTTCAAAGAAGTCTTTTTTTTTTTTTTTTTTTTTTGAGATGGAGTCTGACTCTGTCGCCCAGGCTGGAGTGCAGTGGCGCGATCTCGGCTCACTGCAAGCTCCACCTC